TTTCAGGAACTGGTCTTAGAACAATGAGCTACCTGCATTTTTTATCCTGCAAATGTCTGTTCCCAAGGAGAGTCCTTCAACAGGTGCTGTTCATAAAATTTGGGACTGATCATATCCAGCTGGCATCTCCTAATACCCCAGGATGAAAGCTCCAGGTTCCGAGGAAGTTGACCGACCTTTAAGTCAGGGATACACCAGATTAACAAAGCTCTTAGTAAAAGTCAGCAAATGCACAAGTCTGTAAACTGGGGGTTATATTGACATGATGAGTTAAACGTGGCTTTTATGCCCAACAAGGATGAAGCACACAGCCGGCCTAGCATTACACACACTTGCGGAACGGCTGTGTCCCTGCCCCAACCCCAGCTCACAGCCTCCCAGGCTGTAACTGCATCCCAGTGGCCTCTGCCACCCACCTCAGGGCACTGGGATCCCCGTGGCACTGAATTTAGAGGTGCCAGACCTCAAAGCCAACAGGAATTGGGGCAAGTCTGAGGCGCTTGAGGGAAGCGCTTGGGCGTTTTCATGGTGGGTCCTCTGCCCCGCAGTGACTGCCTGTTTGCTCATGACAAACCCTCCCTCTTCCATGTGCTCTTTGCTTTAGCATCCTTGCAGCCCCCCTGGTCCCCTCCTTTCTGCTCTTCTTCTTCCCCAGCCCTCTCCCATCGCCCACCGAGAGCTCCTCTCCCGTATCTCGTATCTCTCCAGAGCTTATCTAATTTCCCCCCAGGCTCACAAAATGCCTGGCACCAACATGCTGCTGCCACACCGCCCTCTCTGCTAATGCCACACACCTTCTTCACACCCCCTGCCTGCCCTCACCCTACTGAGCCCAGAGGTCAGCCTGATCTGACAGCATCAAAAGGAGATACCAGGAAAGCGCAGAAAATCATTGCGATGCTGCAAGGCTCCCCCTCAGCTGGGGAACTTCCTGAGCCAGAAGAGGATTTCTCACCCACGAACCTCCCTTTGAAGGGTGGAAAATTCTACCAACTGCAGCATCTCCTGTCTCAGCATACCTGAACGGGGCACTAATCACGTTCAGCACAAGTTCTTGTCTAGCTCACAGACACTCCAGTCACACAATTACATTCTAACGGGTCGAGCTGCGTTAACCGTTGCAGCATTACCTGTCTGCAAGCTCTGCTGTGATCATCTTTCTTTTTTTTTTTTGCATCATGCATAAGAAGAAAAACAAACAAAAAAGCGTTGTTTATCTCCTGCTGTAACAATCACCCATCTCTCAGGGTCGTATGATGAATGCCTGAATATTAATTCAAGATTTTCCCTCCTCAATTATTAACAATTAAAGCACTGATTATTTTCAATATGGATGTCTTCTTGATGCAAAATATGCCAGCAAATACAAAGTCTACCACACATGGGAGGGATGTAGTGTTGATTAAAATGCATCATCCACAGAGTTTGTAACTCACACTGGGCACACTCCACGGATAATGCATTTTAATTTTATGGGATTTAGGGCTGCAGGTGAAAGATTTAGCTACCTGGAGAAGAGCCTAATAGCACTGTAAGAAATAGGGGTGCAGCGCTGAAAGAAATGGGTGATTTCAAAGGAAAAGAGAGATTCTCCTCATGAATTTTCAGTCTCTACCCTCACTCTAAAGAAACAGTCTGATTTCTGTGGTGCATCTGAAAGGAGCATTTCCACAATGAATTGTCAGCAAAGTGGTGGGCAATTGAGCGTGGGACTACAGACACCTTGGTCCACGTTCTTGCAGGGCATACCGAACCCCTGAAGGTGGTCTTGGTGGGACAGAGGGCTAGACATGATGGTGAGCAACAAGTAGAGGAGCCTGCCACTGCCTGGTGTACAGACCCTGACGGGCGCTATGTCACATTCAGGTTTATTTGCACCCCCTTTTTCATCCACAGTCCTCTGGGAGCCCCTCTGAGTGTGCATGGGGGCAGAGGTGGGCACCAGCCCCCGTGTCTGTGCAGCTGATTTCAGATGCCAGGGCCAAGCATGCCCTTTCTCCAGTAGCATGATCGGGTTCCCTGGCACTACCTTTGGGGCAAAAATGAGTAAATTCAAGCTGAGGAGAGGAGATGGTGCTGGAACACACAAAAAACAGTTGGTGGGGACTGTCCCTTTGCCTTTTGGGAAGGGGCAGCAGCCTGGATTAGGGTTAAACGGATTTGTACTTGCAGGACCCTGGGCCTCTAATTGGGTTTTTTTTTAATTCCTGTAATCCTGGATGATTTGAAGCAGATGCTTCGAGATTACTGCCAGGCCCAAAGGTGACTGCAGGAAGAAAACAGTCCATGCTCGGTGAGCAGCAGTGCAGCAGGCTGGGGGTGTCCCCGTGCCTGGGGTCTTCCCCCTTCCTGCTGCTCAGAGGGGCTGCAGCACCTGTGGGGATTGGCCTGAGCCTGGTTTTGGCCCTGCACCAGGATCTGGGGGGACTCAAAACTCGCCTTTGCTTTCTCAGCAGCCCATGGGCACAGGGAGTCGGAGCCCATTCCCCAGGAGGCGGCTGATGGGAAAGACAAAACCATACGGAGTTGCCAGAGAGAATTTATTTTTCCTGCCGGCTCCCGAGAAGGTGTGAAAATCCCCTGGGTGTTGGCAGAGACCCTCACACCTGAAACCCCAACGCCAGGCTGTGAACGTGCCCCACCAGCCAGCCACAGCCCCAGTGGGTCCTGCAGGTGAGATCTGTCTGTATAGCCAGTCAAAGGATGAGACTTCAATCACTGTCGTCAAATATAACACATTGAATATTGATGGAGACAGATTTTTTAGTAGGACTTGTAGCGATAGGACAAGGGGTAATGGTTTTAAACTAAAGGAGGGTAGATTCAGACTGGATATAAGGAAGAAATTGTTTACAGTGAGGGTGGTGAAACACTGGCACAGGTTGCCCAGAGAGGTGGTAGATGTCCCATCCCTGGAAACATTCAAGGTCAGGTTGGACGGGGTTCTGAGCAACCTGATCTAATTGAAGATGCCTCTGCTTACTGCAGGGCTGTTGGACTAGGTGACCTTTAAAGCTCCTTTCCAACCCAAACCATTCTGTGATTCTATGATTCTAAGATAACCTATTATAGACAGGTTTGGTCTTGGCTTAGCATCATCCTGCAGCTTTTCTCCAGGGCGCTGTTGGAGTTGTGCAGCTCCTGCCCAGCTTTCACAGGAAAGACCGAGGGACCATATTGGCCAGAGGGACAGCAAGAGGCATGGGAGAGAAAGGCAATGATTTTGGTTCATGGCGTAAGTGAAAAGGAAGTTCTTCTATACCAGCTCAGGCAGTTCTGAGGATATCTGGAAAAAAAAAACAACCAAAAAAACCCCACGAAAACCAAAACCAACCAAACAAAAAGAAACCCACCTGACCCAGCCTTAAATCACCTTCTGCCCAATGTAAAATTCATTCAAGATGATGCCTAAGAATACTTGGTGAAGTCCTTGGGTTTTGTTGGCCGAACAGAACTCCTTGCTGTCCACTCCAGCTCTTCTATCCTCTGTCTCTTTACAGCTGCAGTTAGGATGAGCTGTAACCTGTATTTAACCTTTGGGTTGCCTAACCTCATACAAAATTTTAGGAGCCTGGATCCAAAAGCAAACCTATGTTTGTCTGTGGTTTCCAGCAATAATTTTGCAAGTCTCTAATGCTGCAACTTGAAGCAGCCTTATAGGCTAAAATCTCTTCTCTGATCTTAAATATTTAACAAATACCATACAAAGATATGTAATATCTGCAATATTCATAGCCTGGGTGGCAGGCTGAAAACACATGGATGTGGCATGGGGTTATTTGAGGTTTTCCTTTGAAGACCAGCAGATTTCTCTTGCTTCTTTGTCATTGAACATTGCCGTAAAACACTAAAAACAAGTAACTGGTAATTCATAGGCCATTTGTGATAATATGATGGCCCAGAGATGGTTGCAGTAAAAAAAAAAAAAAGGATATCTTAAATAGCTTAAACAAGATGTGGTGTACAGGCCGACTTGTATGAGGCAGAGATTAACTATGATTATTAATAATTACAAGCCCCAAGATGGGAAAGCACTTAAGCACAATCTTATGCCCCATTGGCTTCCCAGGGTAGCCTCTCCACCAACGCCGGAGAAACGTCAGCACGTACCCATGCTCAGTGCCAGCCCAGGGTGCACAGGAGCCAGCACCGTGGTGGCAGGGCTGCAGTGACCCTCTCGCGTGAAAGCTGCCGTGCAGATGGATGGCAGCGATGCCTTCCTCACGGGATGAGTATTGCCTTCCTCCTTCACTTGGGAAGGAAGAGAAGAGTATATCTGGTAACATTAACATTAAAGGTTTGGACAGAAAAGCTTACAGCCAGGCAGTTTTATCACTCCTTGACAAAGCCAACTGCTTAGAGAGGCTTTGGGTCGGGCTATTTAAAGGCACCATTGATCCCCAGCCTACTCGCTGCACCTGTGAGTCTCCTCGGCTCAAAAGGAGTGAGACCTCAGACCTGCTGAGTGTGGCAGGGAGAAATGGGGTCCAGGCCACCCCCACTCCAGGAAAGCATGAACGTGTGAGCGAGGTCCAAAGATGTACACAATGGTGTTGGCCACAAGAAGGAGACACAGGTGAGCAGAGCTATATCTGGCTGTCCCCATGCTCAGTGTCACACTTCGGAGCTGTCTCAGTGTCAAGGCAGGGCTCACCTAGCTGGCACCAGGCATCACCTCCTAAGACACACGGATCCTAAGGCATGGATCAGCCACACAAATATCCTCCTTACCTGTCCTGAGTCACACCAGGGCTGGGCCAGACGAGGTGGTACAGGGACAGGCAGCGACAGCAGTGGTCCCTGTGCTCAGGCAGGGATCTCTGCAGGGGAGCCCATGGCCAGGGGGAGGGCAGACGGACGAGCTGGAACTGTTGGGGCTTTTTCAATTATATTTTCTCCTAGACAGATACACCTGAAGCAAAGTTCTTGGGTAAGGATCTGGGCTTCAGTTCCCACTTCAGCCTGCCTCTACCTGATTAAACCTGCTCCCCTTGACTCAGTCCCTGACTCCTGGCCCCATTCGGGAGCAAAAAAGCTTAAATTTTGGGGGAGATGTAGGGTCACCCGTGCTTTATGCAGACGCTCTGCGCACAGCTGCCCTCACCCCTCCAGCTGCCTCTCAGCCAAAATCCAAGTCTTTGAAAGAAAAGTCAAATCCACTCTGTCCAGGTCCGGTGCGGGTCCGGGTCCGGGTGCGGGTCGGGTCCGGGTCCGGGTCCGGGTCCGGGCGGAGCGGGCGGTGGTGCCGGTGGCGCCGGTGGAGCCCCGGCCCTGGCACGGAGCAACAGCTCCACCGTGTGCGGAGACGGGAGCGCACCAGCTCCTCGGACCGGGAGAGACTGAGGACATCGGCCAGGTTCAGCTCCCCTTAGTCGTATTTATGCCTTAATTTAATCTTTAATTTGTTTGGGGTTTGGTTTTTTTTTTTTTAGGGTTGATCTTTTATTGTATTTTTTCAGTTTAAAAAAAAAAAAAAGCAAACCAAGAAAACCCTGCTGCTTCAAAGGACATCTTCTTACCCAACTCTTAAGGAAGGATGCACTCATTATTGCAAGACTGGACAACCCAATGCTTAATATTGCCAAAATGACAGCCTCCTGCATTGCATCTTGTTAGAGCCTGCAGTAATTCTGCATGGGCTTGGTTATTTGCTTTTACCCCATGTTTGAATGCTTGCTGAGGGACACAGACTCTCACAGATTACCCCTTTCTGCTTCTTCCAAAAGGACAAGGTCACAGATTTGTCATCTTTTTGGTTTGACTTGCAATTTCTCCACGGGCTGCAATCTTTCAGCAGTCCCGCTGGAGTTTGCCTCTTGCCAAAACCGTCCAAACACAACAAACCACAAAGCCATTTTATGCTCACTCAAATACGCTTACTCCGTGTCCAACCCCATCCTTTTGACAGACTTCTATGCTCGGGGACAAGCCTGGCCAGGTTAATGCTCACCCAGGGCAGCCTCAGGGCACTGTAGGACCGCTGTTCACATCCACAAATCTTAGGAAACCAATGCTGTCAGGGGGCAAACACTGCTGTCAGGGGGCAAACACTCCAGCTGCAGCACACACAGCTCTGCCTGTTTGACACTGGGATATCCCTCCCACTTACGGCTCTGATGGGGCAACATTTGAGGCCACCGCTCCTGCTGGGGTGGGACTAGCTCTGGCCACACCTCAGGGACGATGTTTGTTGAGTAAGGGCTGGCAAACCTCACCTCCCAGCCACTGAATAAAATCATCGGGCAATGATAGAGCTATATAAGAATGACTTCTGGGGCCAAATATGTTGTGTTTGTTGTTTCCCCCTCCCTGGGGTTTCTCTCTGGCTTTGCTGCCCTGTGAAAGGCAAACCTGCCTCACCTGGTCACATCAGCCCTGGGTCAAGCTGTGGGGTTATTTCTTCCTGGTGTTTTTGGCAATTGCTACCATCGCCCCCCTGCCCCCATCCCGTTGCTGAAGTTGTTTGAAGGGAGGGGAGTACATTTATTTCTTTAGGGAGCTCTGTGGGTGTTTGCTGTCTATGGCTGCCTTTCTCCAATGAGGTCTCGTGGTCAAACACTCCTGTAGCCCCCAGGAAGGCAGTGGTGGGTGGCAGGGTTGAGGGCTGACCCTTCCAGGCCAAATCCCTGACAAAAATCACATCATACAGGCTCCCCTCTTCCCTCTCCTTAGAGATGTCTCCAGCTACAGCTGATGCTGAAACAATCTCAGGAAAGCCCTAAATCCTGTGGGGTTTGAGCTCTGGGAGGGGAAGTCCAGGTCTTTTGATGCCACCTTGTGGAAACCTCGCTATCCTACTGTCACCAGTGCCAGTGTCACCTTGGGGACAGGGTTGTGGGCAGTAAGTTGAAGTGCTGAGCTCGGAAACATTTTGGGAAGGGGTTGGGTGCAGCTGATCTCATTTAGGCTCAGCCACACACAGAACAGTTGCTCTGGTGGGATGAGGAACATCCCAGCCCAGCAGCTGGGCGAGGGGAGCGCAGCATGGTCCTCTGGCGGTTGGCTTTAGTTGTGTTGTCATCACAGCAGTGGTGAGAGGCAACATGACGATTGTAAGCATTGTTTTAGATCAAATTATATACTTAGGAAAAAACAGACTGGCTGTCAGGCACGTAAGTGCTCTGGCTTGTGCTCCTTGTACTTACTCCTTGATCCTCTTGTAGCAAGTGGTGTGGCAAGAAAAGCAGCTGTTCTCAAAAGGATAGACCTGGAGCAAGCCTTGAACACGCTTTAGGTGTATAAATCCAAAACTGCACTTCAAACCCTGGTAAGCTCAGCAGCCAGCCAGTGTGGTTCAAATTCCTCCCCACGCTCCTTGGAACAGAAAATCCTCTGCATTCACACTGCTGCACATGCTTGCGCTGGCCTGGGGTGAGTAACAACCTGCTGGCCAAGTCCTCTCCCATGCAGAAGCATTACCAGGTAATGCACCTTTGGATTCGTGTCATGGAATTCCCTCAGCATTTTAATATATGGACAGGATCGAGGTCCTCATTAAATGCAATTACAGGTGCTTTCTGTTCATAAAAGCCAGCCCAAAGAAGAGGAGGAGCTGCATGTACCCAGATCCACTGCAGCCCTAAGAGCTTCAACTGCTTTCCTGCCAGGATAGCATCCTTGCCACCGGGCTACAAGCTGGAGGATACTGGATGTATTGAAGGACAGGAGGGGAACGTCTTCCCTCCTGTTAAACTTGGACAATAGCAAAGTCAAGAATTTTGCTCTACTGTTGGTTTGCCAGGCTCAGAGTTTACTGTCTCCAGTACACAAAGATTTTGGCTAACTTGCCAGATAAGTTAGTGGTTGAGTGGCACTTCTCTGAAAGACAGGCAGAGCTTTTCTCAGCCATCACACAGCTTCAGACATCCCCCAGATTACAAAATTTGCACTATCTATGCCTTAAATCTTTCTGAATATGTTGCTTTAAGCCTGTATACTCTGATGACATGCAGCTCAGTATTTCAGCTCATAACAGTCTCTTCTGACGCCAAATACAAGCATCTTTATATAATTTTTAATTTGGAAAGTATGGGCAATGAACAAGTAACTTTGAAAATAAACAGGAAGATGATGTATTGTGTTTTCCTGTATTTAACCTCACCTTCCCCTTATGTTGACATGGTCTAGCTTACAGTTTAGAAACTACAATAACTTCAAGAACAGCAAAAGCTGCAAATTAAATTGCTATAAATCAGGTGCCAACATTAAATACAGTCAGAGTGACTTGGCTGATTTACATTCAAGTTGTATTTCAGGATATCAGCTCTTTCAAGATATTCTTGCAAACTCATATTACCACCTGAGGTACTTTGGAAGAGTACAACCCACACAGGAGGTCAGGAGCAAAATAGAACTTGTTTTCCAGATGCAGAACTGGAAACCCAGTGGCATGATTGCTGCTTTGGGAGCAGAGTCCCAGGGATGCCCCTCTGCCATTTGCACAGTTGAAAAAGGGATTTATTGAGAGAATGAGGAAGTATCTCTTAAATTCTGTCCTGTACCATGAACCTGCGACATGTTGGATACCAAAAAGTGTGAAATGCCATAGAAGAAGACATAATCAATGCCAAGCCAAAAGCTGTGAAAATGTGACCCTCTGAAAAGTCAGGCTAGGATTGCTTTTTCAGCAGCAGTCAGTTTGCAGCCTGATATAAATGTTACCACTTGAACATCCCTTGTTTTGTACCGTCGGGATCACATTCGAAAAGGCATAGTGTGCTCTCATGTTTTCCTTTCCTTTAAAATCTTTTGGATTGAACCACAAATGTTATTTTCACATGAAATCCAGCTTGTCTGCCCAAGAGATTGCATAGATGGGTGGTAATACAAGGCTCCTTCCCAGGTCTGACAGAAACGTGTCTGCATTCATAAATTTAAACATCTGGCTTCAGTGCAAAGTAGGTCAAAGCTCATCTGTCAATGAAGGATTTGTCAGAGATATGGGGAACTATATTTTCTCCCCCCTGTCTTATTTGTGTGGTGGCATAATAAGAGCGACTCTTCCCTCCATAGGTGCTGGGAGGTGGTGGCTGTCCCCCTAGGGCGTAAAAGTTCCCCTGCAGGAGAATTAAAATCTGTCTGGCCCCTGGCTGGTGTGTCCTGCACAGTCCCCTTTTGGGTGAGTCTCCTTCGATTGGTCTGTGATACCACACCAGTCCACACCAGTCCAATCCACCACTCAGACCTGCCACCCTAAGCCTTGGCAGGCCACCGGGAACACAGAATATGGGAGCAAGTCTATATATTGGTCGGTGCTGTGGCTGCTGCTGGGTGTTAGCAAATGCCCTGCGGGCAAAGCTATCACCCTGTGGTTCAGGTACCATCAGGTATGACTATGGCCAACTCTTTGTTGATCAGCTCTGGGGCTCCTTTCTCTTTAACCTGAGCATCATTCCAGCTGGGGAAAAGAGGCTTTCCAAAAAAGCCTATAACTACAGAAAATTACAAGAGAAGAGTTTCTTGAAACAACATCTGCTGGAAAGTCTCTCTGACAGCCTGCTATGGAGGGCAAAACCCCCAGGTCCGGGTGTAACCTCTGTGGCTCATGGCTGCAGTCCCTGACACCTGGTCAGCATCGCAGCATCAGCCTGGCCACATCCAGCCCTGCCAGCATATGCCCTTCCTCGTGCTGTCAGCAGAGGCCCTCTTCCTCCGAGGTGCAGCCCTTGGCACTGGCGTGGGGTCTCCTGCCCAGAAAGCTGCAGTGGGAGTGTTTCAGGCTGTGTCATGAGATGTCTCAGCCCAGCTGCATTGCTCACACCAGGCAGCTTCCAGCTGCTGGTGCTGCTCTGCACGTTTGTACCCATTCCCTGTGCTGGGAACAGGTCCCAGAAACCCTTCAGACACCTCCCAGCCTAAGAAAATACCCGAAGCACGCGCTCCAGCCCGGAGGTAGCACAGCAGGGCCACTGTTGTCTCCCAGGCATGCCAAAACCCTCAGTAATTAAAATAATTTCCCTGCAGTCAGCAAAGGACGTTGTGGTTCCCAGCGCCAGAGGCGGGGAGCTGACTCAGGGGGAGGGGGGGGCCTCGGGCCGGGCCCCTGGCAGCCGCTTCCCCTCCGAAAATTGCCAGCTGGGGAAGGGCTAACCTCCACCTACTTCTGGGAAAGTCGACATTGTCCCCGCAAGGGCGTTTCCAAGATAAGGGTGGTCCAGCTTTGCATCCCTGGGCTGGAGCGGGCACTGAGCTCAGGCACCGTGCCGGGGAGGGGTGGGGGGGGAGTTAACTCTGATTTGGACCCAGAGGGGAGCCTGAACCAGGGGTCTGGCCCCAGTTTACTGCAGAATTGTGGCAAATTGGCAGCAGTGAAGCAATCAGTTCTGGTCCTGTCTTTCCAGGGAGGATTATCCTGGTAAAAACAGGGTGATGG